CCTTCGTAACATGCATTGTTAGGGGGGAAAACCTTCGACAACTGAGTCACTGTATATGTGTTTGACTTTGGCAAAGCATACATGAAACAGCAGTTGACACGCAGAATTACTGAATGAAAGTGCCAAGGTATTATGTAGATGTTTACTAACAGTAGTACTTTCTGTGTATAATCATCTTAATCAAAATAATCTGTTTAATTATAATCCTATGGCTTGATAAGTACATTTTTTTATACAGTACTTGTAATTCAATATACAACGTTCCATTCATTTACAGTGTAGGTATATCGATATGTCCACATCCAACATAAAAGAGGACGGTATTTCGGTGGGAGGTCTCTGTAATACGTGGGCCATTCATATTTATATATATTTTTGTAGTTTTTACAAATTCATCAATTTTTATACCGTATGTGACCTGTCATCTCAACATGAGCCCGACTGAAAAATTGCCATTTTGCAGCACATAGTACTAATGGGAACAATTCTAAATTCAAAGGGATCGTTGGTGGAAACAATGTTGCATCCTGACGCCACTTTTCTCATCATATATTTTTGTTAGAAAATACTTTGAAAATGCACTCGACTCTCCATAGACTTTGTACACAACCAAAGAAGTGGCGTCTGGATACTGCATTCTTTCCTTGTCGATTTTTGTGAGTGGATTTTGATAGTTACATAGATCAGGCATGCAACTGGTAAGTTACAAAAAAAGAGGAAATTAAATTCTTTCCAAGAGGTTTGTACAGTGTTTTTCTATTTTCAATGATACTCATGGGAGGTCAAAAAATAGGAAATCAGCTGATCCGAGGAAAAGTTGCATGCCTGATAGATATTAAAATGCCGTAGATAAACAGTCCACAGGTAAGGAAAAAGGGGGGAAAAAATGTCATTATTGTAGAGAAATTCATTAGAAACGACAACAGGGTACTATACAAGCACATTACAACCCAATCCTTAACAGAAATTATACCTTATGAGTTGATTCTTTTTAAATTCTTTATTTTTAAATTGGCAATTGATCGTCCAGTTAATAAAAATAATTCTGACTCATTTCAAATATAATGTAACTAATATAAGCAAGTTTGTACAAGAAATATGGTGAGCAATAGTTGACCTTATACAAGTCGCCGCTTAAACATATCTGGAATAAGTTGTGGCCACGTTTTTCCAGAATGGGCTCATGGAATGGGATATTTCATGAGTGAACGGCATGGTACTGGTTTAGTCACAGGCCCCGTGTTTGAATTTACCCAATTGTTATCTGCGGAATTGATTGAACATAAGTTGAAGTCAACAATTTCAATTTGATAATAGTCGTCAATTTGCAATACTTTCATGATATTGTAACGATCTCTTCTTTCAAAATATTCATTAATACTGCCCTTGATTGGACGGGCCCAGTCAGGACACAAAATAAATGTCAAAAAATAGGATGTTACACACGTCGTGTAGGTCTTACACACGGTGCCCAGATGTGCTGCATTCTCCTCAAATCTCGCAGGATTTTTAAAGTTTCATCTTATACAGAGTTTGCCACATCGCAAGTTTTCAAACTGTTGTGCTTCTTGCAAAGCACTGCATTAACGATTTAACCATTTTTGGCCCCAAAAAAGTTTTAAAAGTCAGAAATTTCCGCAGAGGTAAAGAAGAAGAACATTTAAAACTTGCCAACCAACAACTGATCAGCCTTGCTCTACAGTGCTTGCAGCATGCTTAAAATTCATCGTTTCACCAAAACATGCAAAACGTTTACATCGTTTTGCTTGTTTGAATTTTGATATTTTGGGATTTTTTTTTGTCCCAGTTTTACTTTAGTGTCTGCACAGCAGGACAAGGCACTCAGCACATTCAACAAATATTGCACCAGGCTTAATATCTGAGTAATATTAATTTACCAAAAAAAGAAGAAGTCTTATTGGACCAATTGAAGAGGTACGGTTTGTATAAAAAAAGGAAAAAAAAAGAAACAAATTATACAAGTTATATTTTTAGGAGCTGCGAAGCAGGCGAAATACTGGCTAAGCAAAAACAGGTTGGTTACCAGTTACACACAAGTCATGTGATGTAATATCGCGTGTCACTGGTTCCCCGCTGATTTTGGTTCAGTACATATTTAAGCCTGCTGAGCGATATTCTGGGGTAGGCCGGTCCGTGAAATGTGGACTTGAATACTCCATGATTTCAAAGTCTGAAGCATTTCTGATTATTCTTAAAATGAATCATAACCACAATATGAACTGGATATGCTGAGTATTTCACGAGGAAAATATGTAAATTCTACACTGTACACACAAAATACACTTTTAAAAAACACACTAATTTTAGCCGAAACAATTCAATAGCCATCTTTCCATTAATATGTAAGCCAGTGTGAAAATTCATCTTTACTGGTGTTCAAAGTTGAATGCTAATTTGATGCTGTATACAGTCATCGCTCTGAAATAAATTTGGGTTACAATTCTGAAATTTTGGACCAATTCATGAATAAAACCAAAAGTCGCATTTTCTTGATTTGTTCTTGGGATCAAGTAAAAGTTCGCGGACCATTACTTTTTCTGATCATTACTCAGAATTTGACAAAAATACCAACATTCTCTGGTAATGTTTTTCTAAATATTTGTACAAAAATTCTACTTACTTTTTGTCACTTTGGCACAAACATAAAATATAACACACATTAAACATTTCCACTATCTTTTTAAAGCACTATGGTAAACTATTATATAGATATTGTGTTGATATATCTAACTTCAGTATTTTTTATGTACAAATATTTCTACACGGGAAAATCTGCCTCACACAACCACCACTCAATGCACAGTCTCACAGTAAAATTCTCAAGTACAATACGAACGTCAAAAGTCACACAATAAGAACGTGTTCTGACAAAACACACATTGTGAAGCCAACATGTACAAAAATATGAGTTTGGAATTTCAAATAAAAAAGAACGTTCAAAGAAATCTTGTGACATAATCATGTAGTACTTACATCGATCAAGTTGTGTAAATTTTAATCAAATTGTGATCATGGATTAGTAGTGCAGTGATACTCCTCAGGTGATATCCCTGCAATATTTGAGGCAGTACCTCTGAGAAGCTGTCGTTGAGGTGCTGTCTCTAAGGTACTACCTCTTGAGGTAATGCCTCTGACTTCTGAGGTGCACCTTTGACCTCTGAGGCTCCCTCTTACATCTCAGGAACTACCCCTGAGGTGCTGTAATTGAGGTGCCATCTCATAGGCACTACCTATGACCTTCAAAGCACTACCCCTGACCTCTGAGGTAATACCTTTGAAATCTGAGGTGCTACCTTTGACCTCTGAGGCACTACCTCTGAGGTAATGTCACTGAGGTTCTTTTTTTCCTAAGAGCTATCTCTGAGGCACACCTGTAACCTGTGTGGCATTATCTTTGAGGTACTCTCTCCAAATTGGTGTTACCTCTGATGTACTACATTGTAACTCTGACCTCGAGGCGCTACCTCGTCTGTGCTATGCATGAGGTCTTATGTCTGACTTATCTCTTACGTGTGCTGCCTCTGAGCTTCTTCTTCCCATGTGCAATCATTTTTCCCAGATGGTATCATTTTTGCCGAGGTATTTCTCTCTGAGGTACGGTATACTCTCTGAGGTGCTATGACTGAGGTGATATCAAGAGGTGCTATCCCACGAGGTGCTATCCCACGAGGTGCTATTTACACGTAATTAAAATCTTTTTCGACTAGGAACCACGGCGCTAATTTTTAAATTTGTAATAATAATACCTTTGACTAGGTATGAAATCAAATTGAATTATGGTGTTTGGAGCGGTCTTTATGACAGTTCCCCATTTATGATAATGGACAGTATGTAATGACTGTGGGAAAAAAAGCACATCTTTTGAGAGTTCTAGTCATTTTTTTCAGCTTCTGAAATTGATGAATGTTTGCAAAAAGGGATTTCATGTGATGCTAGCATCTACTGAGGTAGCACGTCTAGTTTTCATAATGATATCAAAATGTTTATATTTGGCACTCCATACGTGCCTGATAAATTGAATTTTTTATTTGTAAGGGAATAGTGAAAAATAATTTGGAAATCGTTGATAGAATGTAGGTTTTATCGACATGCCAGCAAACACAAGCACAAGAAGTACACATGCACACATACACACACACCACGTCGTACAAAATAAACTCTTTCTTCTATAATATATCACGTTTTGCTTTATAAAAACATCATATTTGTTGGGACCAGTATGGCCAAGTTGTCAATTCATGCTAGTTGAAGTCATTATTATAATTATTTTATTCAATTTTTTTTTGCAATTTTTTTTTTTTTTTTTACAAAAGAGGTACGTGTAATTCATTCATTGTTGGTTTTCACGTCAAGAAATGCAATGTTAGAATTGCTACTAGATGAAAGTACGGATGTCTTTTGTGTATTTTCATACGACATGTTGACCAATTTTCAATAAGCACCACCAAATTGCTTTTCTGTTCCACAAATCCGGGTCATCCAATCGATCTTCAATTGACCAACAAAATCACAATGACCACGTGCCAATTGCGCACCACTCAATATCAATTCCTGAATAATTCGCTTTCGCATTCATGACTAATTCATATCGCAATCATGAATAATTTACATATTTGATTAAAAAAAGTCATCATATCGATTCCGATATTACTGAATTTTTCACAATTTAGCACATTTTTTTTTTAAACAACAAAGTTCCGTGAATTTTAACATGTACAACAATTCTCTTGAAGTGACTGACTACTAACAGCAAAAAAAAAATAATAAGGTTATTTAAGTCTTGCACAGTTTTTCTTTGTTTTCCCAACAGGTCTCCGACAAATATGCACAGGTAAAGACATTTTATAATACATACACAATATACATACATGCGTTCCCCTGTTGCGGACACCTCACTCAAATATGCATCGACTCGAGATTACGCGCCAGACTTCGGTTCTTCATGAAGAATGTGTCGTCGCACACATCGCAAGATCCTCTTAGCACTGGGTGACCTTGCCTATGGAGCTGTCGCTCGAGCCGTTATGGACAGCCCGGCCGTTGGCCGGCACCAGTCCGTTTTTTGGGGTCCGTTTGCGCTCCTTAGGAGCCATATTCTCGTAGGCGTCTTTCTCGCTGCCGTTCAAGATGGAGACCCGTTCCAGCTCGTCGTCGTTCAGCTTGTCGTGGGTGGCTTGCTGCCGCTCATCGCTGTGGTAGAAGGAATTCTGGGCGAAGCGGGGTAAGATGGCGCCCGTGTTCTCAAAATGTTGAATGATGTCCAGGAACGTTGGGCGAAGCTTCTCGTTGTACTGCCAGCACATGATCATGATCTCATCCCTAAAGTAGGGGGGAAAAACAAAAAACATCCGAAGTCAAATATCAACTATTTGGATATCACGCTTTGCCTGGAACGTCCATTTATACAGTTTTATGGAAACCACAACGGGACTATGACAATCAGCATTTCGTGATATAACAGAATTATGTAAATTTATGCAGATTTCTCAAAAATGCAAAATAACTACAGGGTGCTATTACTGTCAAGACCAACCATACTGATTGGTCAGAATGAAGATTTATTGGGTGGGTTAAAAAAAACACACAAAAAAACAGGTTTCTTTATAAGCGCAACAGTTAATTTCTCTTTCTCAGAAAGACTTTGTGCCACTGCAAATTTTCACAGGCCTACACAGTATGTGAAAAAAAAAATCGGAAAATAGGCCGATCAAAAATCCTTGTGCGAAATCTAGGCCATGCCGCACTTACACATGTACTAATGTACAATAAACTTTGTGCCCAATTTCCTGTTTTATTTTACATCTTAACGAAATTTTACGATGTGAAACACGTTCGGTGTTTCCATAACATTGAAAAGCCTGAAGTAATGGACTCATTAACAAAGAAATTCATTTCTTCTTTGAGAAAGTCAAGGAAAAAGTCCAAGACCATGCACCAATCAACCAAACAACTCCACTCACATACGCGGGGAAAAAAAAAATCAGCATTATCGTCTTTTTCTTTCAAAAACCGTCTGTGAAATTGATCTTTTATGCTCTTTTTGCCATCTTACGCCATCCACAAATTGCCCTGGCAACACAGATGTCATGGTGCCATATTCATCCAATTCACTGAAATTTAATTTAAAAAAAAACAGACTTTGCGGGGGAAAGATCATAACAAAAATTCTGACTTTTGGAAATATATTTTAAAAAGTCGGAAAATGTTCTTCTCTGCAAATGTTTGTCCTTTGAAAACCCATGGAATATGACCCAGCCTTGCTGTCGACCAATGCCGTTATACTCACAACGTATCGGGGCAACCCTCTGGCTTGCTTAAGACGTTGCCATTCTTGACGTATTCGCCAGCTTCTTCGTTCGACATTCCTTGGTACGGCAACTCACTCAGTGTTGCTATCTCCCACATCAGAATGCCAAAGGACCTGAAGGGAAAAATAAAGACTCCCCACATTAAACCAAAAATCTTTAAAACCCCTCACAAACCCTCACGAGTCCTCACAAGTCCTCAAGAGTCCTCACAAATCCTCACAAACCCTAACAAGTCCTCAAGAGTCCTAACAAGTCCTCAAGAGTCCTCACAAATTCTCACAAATCCTAACAAGTCCTCAAGAGTCCTAAAGAATCCTCACAAATCCTCAAGAGTCCTCACAAGCCCTTGAGAGTCCTCACAAGTCCTCAAGACTCCAAGTCCTCACAAGTCCTCAAGAGTCCTTGTGAGTCCTCACAAGTCCTTGCAAGTCCTCACAAGTCCATCACAAGTCCTCATGTGTCCTTTACAAATACATCACGAGTCCCCACAAGTCCTCACAAGTCTTCATGAGTCCTCACAAGTCCAATACAAGTCCTCACAAGCCCTCATAACTCAACCACATGTGAATCACAAGTTCTCCAGTCAAGTCAAAAGCTATTCAAATAAACTGTGTCAAAGACAATCATTTGACTGTGTTAAAGACAACACTTTGTTATTGTTCATCCCCCAAAACAGGCATGCAACTGGGAAGTTACAAAATAACAGGAAATTCCAAGCTTTACAAGACTTCATACAGTGTTTTTCAACTTCTGATCCGAGGAAAAGCTAGGAGGGGTGATTGATAAGTTCGTGTCCTAAGGTGTAAGGAGATGAGTTATACAGTTTTGACTGATATTGTGTGCATTTCAACTTGTTGAATGATTACAGGAAAGTTTGAAGTTATTATCTTTTCCTCCTTTTTAGTTACAGATAATTAAACCTCGACAGTCTTCGGTTCCTGAGATCCTGAATTAAACCTGCTGCAGGAGAAGCTGACAACGGGGGGTCCTCTTCATCTTCGGGAAGAGGTAGTAGTCAAAGGGTGCCAAATCAGGAGAAAAGGGCAGTCCACCAGTCCGAATCAACGTGGCTGGATGGCAGCCATGGACACTCTGGACTTGTGGACTGAAGCATTGCTCTGGTGGAAGAGCACCCCCTTGTCGGCTTCCCCGCCGCAATTTTTGCTTCAGGCAAAAAGGCGAGTCTTTTGGTCAAAGTAAAACATCTGAATTGACAAATCAAATTTGTTGAATAGCATGCAGAGAGCAACTTTAAGTCACTATGTTTATCTTACCAGACATCGGAGCTTGCCTGGAACACCCCGTCTCTGATGGACTCCGGAGCCATCCAGCGTATGGGCAGCATACCCCCCTTCTCTTTCCGATAGTAGTCCGACTGATAGATGTCCCTGGCCAGGCCAAAGTCGGCCACTTTGCAGGTGTTCTCTTCCGACACCAGGCAGTTACGGGCCGAGAGATCGCGGTGGACGTACTTATGGGCGGTCAGGTAGGCCATACCGTCCGCGACCTCCGCTCCCATGTTCAGGATGTCTGTCAGGCTGGGCGGGTACTTTCTGTTTTGAAGCTGTGGAGTGAAAAGTTTGTATGGTGATCGCAGAAAATCCCCGCAGTTTTAAGGAGCACTTTTTAATTAACGGAGTTCTGAAGATGCACATAATAGAAAAGAATTACATGAAGTTTTTTTCCATTTGAAACATAATTTATTAAGAGGAAAAAAACCAAGTTTATTTTGTGACGAGAACAGATAGTCCATCTTTAAATACATGGCATTCACTTGCTTATATCGTCGTGCCCGTGCAACAAGGTCATATCTCCAAAAATGGGCCGTATGTGAAACAACAGTTTCAGAATGTCCAAAGGTCGTATCTTACTTAAAATAACCCAGGTGTACACACAAAGTCAATGGACGTCGAGATACGACCTTGTCGCACGGAGCCTATTCTCGCAAGATACGACTTTCTGGCAGAATGGAATTAGGACCTTGTTGCACTGACGCGACGATATTAAATCTGCATGAATAAAAGTTGTTTGCATTCATAATCTCTCTTGGAGGACAACTGCATTATTAAAGAAGTGCATCAGAATTGTAAAATCATAGATGTCAGACATAGCAGGGGCAGGGAAAAAAAGCGGAACCCAAATGTACAGAGTGATCCATGTACACTTACTGGTACGTCGGTTTGGTTCTCCGGCCGGCGTGCCCTTAGCCAGTTCTTGAGGTCCCCTTGTGCCATGTACTCCATGATGACATACGTAGGCTGGCCCTTGGACACGACGCCGAGTAGCCGGACCACGTGGTGTGCATTGATGGCCCTGGGCAAGTTGTAATGGTGGTTTTGTAAGAAATCATATCCTTAACTGGCTGGGATAAGTTTCGGACAGGTTTCTCTGTACAAGGGCCATTCTTAGCTGCAGGATTCTGAACAACTTTACCTGGAAGGGGATCTACCCGATGTTCCCCACAACCGATGTTCCCTGAAATCCTTAGGATTAGGGTAAGGGCTAGGGTTATAGGGGAACATCGGTATTGGGGAACATTGGTATTGGGGAACATAGGTATGCACCCCCTGGAAGCATGAAGATTCTGGGGAAGTTGTTCATAATCTTGCAAATAATCCTGGCTAAAATGGGGAGTCAAGTTTGGGCAGTGGTTCTTTCCTTGCCTTCCACCGCTGTGACCCGGGTTCGATTCCTGCCCTGGTCCACATGTGGATTGGGTTTTCAGTCCCTACCTGATGTAAACAACCAGGTCTTTTGGTCTTATTTCGGGAACGGTAAGAATTAGGTTACCGGGAGTTTCCTTAGTTCAACCACTTTTGAAATAGGATAAGTAAATAATCCAAAACACACACATTTTGGGGATTTCAGGCCGTAATGCCCCTTTGATTTTCTTTCTTACTTTGAGGAGGGGTCTCACATAGGGGAGTTTGAATCAGTGTCCTAGACCTAAAAGATTTTGCCTTGTTTTCTACAAACTTGGATTTAAAACCACGTCTTATCAGGCTGGTGCCTATTTGCGTCTCACTCCTTTATGATACCGTACCTACAGGAACAAGACAAAGATGGCAACCGAATGTTTAACAGACTTACTTCATGACGGAAGCCTCGTTCAGGAACTCTATCCGGTCCCGGATGGAGGCGTTGGCTTGGACAGACTTGACGGCGACCGTTGTTACGTCCTCATCGGGGCTAATCTTCTTGGCACGGCCTTCGTACACCATGCCAAAGCTTCCCTTGCCCAGCTCACAGATGATGTCGAGTTGATTCCGTGGAAATTCCCACTCGTCTGCGACGTACACTGCAAGCAAGAAGACAAGCAGGTCAGTAGGTGCCTGTGCTACCGATATTTACTTCCTATAGGCATTCAGGAAAATGCTCGGCAGTTTTGGCAGGAAATTTGAGGTACCAGTATAGGATGGCGTGGCATTACGTCATCAGCCAAGCCTATGAAAACATCTTTGCTATGTGTTACCATTCAGTGTTCCAGACTCAAGAACCATTCAGTTTATCAAAATATGTCTGGGAGCTAGATACGGCTATTTCGGAAGTTCCTGGACGTCCACGTCAACCAATACAGAAAAAGTATACACACACGTACAGCACAAATATCTTGTCTACAACGTAAACAGACCTGTACGTACCGGTACAGGACTAACATTCCTGGAGATTATGGACATCTGAGTGCCTATTCCCCCAGTGCATGCAGCGCCAACAGCAGAAGATAATAATTTTTGAGCATTCCGATAAAAATAAAAGGTTGCTATACATAAGTCCAAAACTTTACAAAAACTTCAAGTCCAGACTTGACTTTATAAGCCCTGTGTTCCAAAGCCAGATTTTTGCTGGTCGCAGAGGGCCAGCCAAGTGTCCTAGTTGTACACCAGTACTTACTGTCGCTGGTGCTCATATATTCAGGGTTGACCGAGGCGTACAGCACACCATCCGGCATTTGGTTCTTCTTGTATCTGTGTGGAAAAAGTCGACCAGAAAAATATCGAGAATTGGAAATATCGAGAGAAATGGTTGATACGAATGATACCTATTCATTTTCAATTATTGACTAAAGTTATCACTATTTAGTGATTATTTCACGGTTGAACAAAGAAATTGACTGGAGCGGGGTTTGAACCTGCAAGCTCTGGACCGCCGTTCCGGTGCTCTACCAACTGAGCTATCCAGCCCTAGGTTGGCAGTTCCCAATTTTCTCTTTGAATGAAAGTATCAAGCTTACCTCCACCTAACCAGGATCCAGATGACTGCGACAAGAATCAGGACAAAAGCCACGCAGATGCCTATAGTGATCCCCATGGCCCCTAGGCCTGAGTCTGGGGCCGAAGTCGGTTCTGAAATGAGAGGCGGCATGAAGAAGTTTATCTTACTGCGTCATCGAAAACAGCTGAAAACGTACGGTATGTGACTGGGGTGGTTCCATTTACGAGAACAATGCAAACGTTTACTTTTGGCTACGTTTGTGCAAGTTAGGGCTGTGCATCGAAGCCAGGTACCCAGTTAATGTCAGGAACCGGTTCCAAATTATGGAATCGAGTACCAATAACTAACTTTGCAAATTACTTAGTAACTTCTCAGTCAATAAAAAAGAAATGTTTCGAATCTCAGTGGAAAATTTCAAAATGAAAAACAGGACACACGAAAAACCAAAACCAATTTCACGTTTTATGGAGCTTGCGAAAGTTGCAGTTTTCACCACATAGCTAAAGAGCTCACTGTATACACCCTATCTAGCTGTATTGCTGCACGGATATGTGGTAGTTTTATCATGCTGACCTTTATGAACAGTCTGAACAGCAACTTCCCAAATTTGAATTTTTGGCTGAGGTTTCTTTAACGGGTACCCGGGTACCCGTATTTTTTACAATAGGGTACCCGGTTCCTGTACTGCCCGTAAATGCACACCCCTAGCTAGTACAAGTGGGACCGACCATTTGCCACCAACGTTGACAAATGTTAGCAACCAAGGTGAACGGTCTTCCTGAGTCGTTCCCTACGTTTTCCAAACTAGCCATCGAACACAATGAACATGATGATTTTGACGGGGCCGAAACCTTGACTTTTCAACATTCAAAAAGTTTGCACACATTTTTTAGTGGAAACAATTCACCTCCAGTCACAATGAGTTCATATATCACTTGCAACATTTTACTTCCGTCATGGAAATTTTTTTTGAGGATTTTAAAAGCTGCTTTTCAAACAGTGACACTTGTTGGGTTGGCATGCAGGGCGCCGCCATTTTGACAGCTGGTTTTTAATGACATTATCGTTCCATTTTGGGGTTGGCACATTCGCACGGCCTAGCTTAAAAGTAGACACAAATCTGAAGAAACAAATCTTTGGAAGCAACAAAAGTGCTCAAAATCTAAAGACGGCAGCTTAACAATAAATATGATGAACTTTTAGCTCAATGAATGCCATATATCCCCCAAAAAACCCAAAATTCTAGGATCTCCATTTCAATTCAAAAGTTACCGAGTAATGTTTTGAAAGGCTCAAAATCAGCGACCGGGACATGTTCTCATTTAGCTGATAGCAGCTATGCGATGTCAAGCACTGAACTGACGAATTACAGCAACCAGGAGCGTTTGTGGGTCGTGTCAACGCTTGTGCGCACCCATTCATGGCTTCACCGCATTAAAAACAAATTACTAACGGAAATTCCTAAAAATGCATCTTAAATAATGAAAGGTTTGCGGAAACACCATGTGCGAATAATTTCTCAACTGAGAGAATGGTTCTGAAAAGAACCAGAGGTATCTTTAGACATCTTTAGATGCATCTTTGGAAATGACCTTCTTTTATTGTTTTTGCATGACCTTCTTTTTTTATATTTGCACAGCTGCAAATGATGGAAAAGTCTAATAACTATAACTATAATACAGCTACAGCGTTTAGATGTAAACTGTAAAAGCATGGGAACCAACCATGGACAGGTTCCGGCACAGTGAACATATAGGGCTCGGTCCACGGTCCCTCTCCGGCCAATGATATGACCCGAATCTTAGCCGAGTAGTTGCCAGGGTCTAAGCCTACAAACTCGTATCCGTGCTGCTGGTGGAATCTGGCCTCTGATAGGCAGATCATCTTGCCTTCCGGCTTGCCCTGGGAATGAGAAAGCACATCAATCATTAGCTAAACACAACCACCTGTGAAAGGGTGCACTAACCTAACTTTCTAGTAAATGGAAAGCCAAGGAATTGGTATCATGGACAAACATCACGAAATAAAGAAAGAATAGCATTAATTGATATTCGGAAATACCCGAGACAGTTTACCCATTGCTATTGGTCGAGAGCCCGTCACGTGGGTGGTTTTAAATGGTTGATAAAACACCCACTGGTTTTACATGTAAACACTTTTTTCCAGTGTTACATGAATTTGGACTCCTAGGAAATGTAGTCCCTTTTACCCTTTTATTGGTTGAACGTTCACGATCTTCACTTAAGCGTGCGCACTACTACCAATGCGTCAGTCCTAAATTTCATAGAGTCCAAAATTCACACAACACTCGCACCGCCGCGTTCTGTGTCAAATCGCGCAGTTTTGCCGCACGCACCAACCTCCACATCGGTACCATACCGGTACCATAGCTAGGGGGTGTTTCACTAAACATGAAGTAAAATAGTTGCACAAAATCGTTGGAAATGTATCATTTTTGACTTGTTTTGACTTTTTGACAGAAAGGTATTTATGCATGGTAATAACTATGTGCTTGGCCGGTATTAAACAAGTACGTTTAAAACCGGCTAGGGGCCTGGTCGATGATAACATCCCTCCCCAAACCGCATCCAGGCCATTTAAAAGCGGCTTATGGCCTGGATGCGGTTTGGGGAGGGACGTTATCATCGACCAGGCCCCTAGCCGGTTTTAAACGTACTTGTTTAATACCGGCCAAGCACATAGTTATTTCCATGCATAAATACCTTTCTGTCCAAAACCAGCAACCGGCCACGCACATACATGTATTGGTTCCCTTAGGAACACAAATTATTCCAATCGGAAATTTGTGGAGACAAAAATAATGTACACTTTGTGAAATTTATTCAAAGACGTTCCCCCTGCCCGCACAGGACAAAAAAAACTTGTTCGCTTACCTCGGTTGCTGGTTTTTGACAGAAAGGTATTTATGCATGGAAATAACTATGTGCTTGGCCGGTATTAAACAAGTACGTTTAAAACCGGCTAGGGGCCTGGTCGATGATAAGGTCCCTCCCCAAACCGCATCCAGGCCATAAGCCGCTTTTAAATGTACTTGTTTAAAACCGGCCACGCACATACATGTATTGGTTCCCTTTAATAGGAACACAAATTATTCCATTTGGAAATTTGTCGAGACAAAAATAATGTATACTTTGTGAAATTTATTCAAAGACGTTCCCCCTGTCCGCACAGGACAAAAAAACTTGTTCGCATACCTCGGTTGCTGGTGTTGCTTCTTGCCCGATGGGATTCTCACCGTTACCCTCGCCGTTGGTCTCACCATTAGCCTCTCTCTCCTCTGGCCGAGGTTCCCCTCCCTCCTGGGTGCCCATCTTGTAGTAGACGATCTCGTGGAGGATGATGATGCCGTTGGGGGACGGGGGTTCCTCCCAGCTCAGCTTGACCCGCCGGTCCTGGGGGTCCTTAGAGGTGATGTTGGCCATCACAGTGGGCGGGATGGCATCCGCATCAGCTGCAGGAAATTCAAACAAGATGGATTTTTGTCTCTCTCAAGTGCAGGCGTCACAGTGCCCCTCTTAATCATGGTGTCGGTGTCAGTATCAATATGGTATCATTGTATCAGTATTGTTTTGGTTTGCGGTAGCACCATGTACGTGGTACCATGTTTATAAATCTCTTTTGTGAGTATGTGTGGTTCTGAAAAGAACCAGAGGGACTCAACGTTTCGAACAGCATGCTCGGTTCTTTTCAGAACCACACATACTCACAAAAGAGATTTATTCACATGGTGCTACCGCAAACTTATCTTGTCTTAGTATCTTTCCACCATGAAAACCTTCAAATCTCACCATGTGGTAATAACTACTGTCGCTCGGTAAATTAGTGCGAGTAGGCCGCTGGTCTAATTGTTGTGCCATTAGAGGGCACACTGTGCACCGTCCACTATCGATCACTAGTGTCTACAACACTGGTTGTAGAATTCGGGAGGGGCAAAACAAAATTATAAAATTTACTCACGCTTGGGTAGCGTCCGTCCAAACGTGGCCATTTTGAGGCCGCACTTTTCACGGTTGCAAGCCAGCACCTCTACCACATACTCCGTGAAGTGGTCCAAGTCCATCAGGGCAACGGTCGTGTTGGCCACAAACTGCTCCTTGAAGAGCAACTGGGTAGGGGCCGGGGAGGTCCCCATGGGGGCAAAGAGGTTAGGGGTGGTGCTGTTGAACCGTACGCTAGCGGGCAAGACCGTTGCAGCAGGAGGGGTACCCGCGAGGGCGTCATCCGGGGCTTCACGGCGGCGTCTCTTAGCGTCAGGCCTATGGGAAGGTGTGGCAGAAGGAGGGGGAGGGGCACAGAAAATCCAGGAAAAATGGATTTGGGAGAAATAATGAAGAATGAAGCGAGTTAACAAAAGCAATGCTTTGAGAGAAAAATGGATTAATATGACAATGGAGGCCATATTTTACATCCAACATGGTAATATAAACAACAACTTGGTTTACACTAGCCTAGCACGCAAGTAGGTCAACCTTGCACCAAAAATGTCTCTATTAATATCCATCAATAAAGGAAAAACTTACTCCGTTTTATTGCAAACTGATTCTTCCCAATACTCACTGAAGTTCAACCTACACTTGTTCCTACCGGTACATGTACTTCTTCCTACACACTATGTACAGCTAGAAATTAAACAAACACCCTGCTACAACAGTCAACTCACAGCGTGCCGTAGTGCAGTACTATATTGTCAACACCACAAGAAAAAAGACTAGCGGTGCAAGATATTTTTTTCACATTCCGTAAACAGAAAAACGAAATCAAGACACAAAACAGACCACGATACAGCAATCACAGAGACGATACAGATAATATGGGTTAAAGACCTTTTCTCAAGGCCCAAGCAAGTTTTGAAACTCTTGCGTGCTCAAAAGAATAAAATAATAAAACGAGACCCATTATTTCGGGGTTGGGCTCGTCAAAAATGAGGGAGGTAGAATCCATGCCCCCTTTCAGCTCCAAACTGTGCAATTACAAATTTCTGACATTTTTGCATGCTATGAACCAATGCTAAGTACATGTACATCTGTGAAGATTTATTTATAAACATTAAAGAAAAAAAAGTTTAAAAAAAAATAATGTTCAGTTCAGTTGTTCACGTTTCACATCACAATCTTTGACCCCAAAACTAGTTTCGTTATCAAAAAATTAAAAAAGAGTCTGAATTTTGAAGAAAAAAATTGCATCACGGGTAATAGGTAAAAAGTTTGGGATTTAAAAATGACTGGCAATCACATCATATGAAAATGTACAGAATTCCACTCCCTCCAGGATATATAGTTTTTTTAGGTTTATCCCCAGAAAGACAATTATTATGAAAGAAAATTACAAGCACTTATATTACACACGGCACACACAGACTAAGGTCACTGGAGATACAGGACAAGCAAACTGACAAACGTTCACAGGACTGTTTCACTGAGTCTGTTGACACTCACTTTCAAAACATTCGCCCTCCAACATCAAGGAGACCGACAATTATTTAAACAATTAAAACTGGGGACGGAATCCCATGGACGGGATAAAACTTTGTCGAAATTCTACCAGATATACTAAGTTTTCAGATTCACAATTGAGTCTAGTTTTAGTCCAATACACATTTTGCACATCTCGCAAATGAGGCCAAGTAAAAAAAAAACAATGGTTTCTCGTCTCCGCCTACTTTTTGTTTTCCCACACACCTCCATTTTTTTTCGTATTCCATACTTTTGCAATATATTTTCGGTTTTAAAATTTGTTTCCAGCCAAGTTGTAGCTGTATACAAGTTCAAATCTGGTAGAAAGGGTGACGGCTCCTTTGGACACAAAAGTGTCAGCAAAAAAGTCAAGGAAAATGAAAGAATCCAACTGCTATCTCGGAAAGTCTGCCATCTTGGAAAATCCACTATCTTGGTAAAAAAAAGGGGAAAAAGGCTGCCTCTTCCCTTTTTCCAAAAAGAGAGAAACTAATTCTTTTTTTAACACTTGGCCTGAAATTTTGCAAACATTCCTTGAAAATCAGGGTATAAATTAGGAAAATAAACCAATTTTACTTCCAAGTCAGCAGAATGGTGAATGGTTATTAACATGTGTTTTCACTATTAGGCCTATAGCTCCAAAACAAAAAAGCTAGCATGGTTTCATGTTTCTGCTCAAATAAATGACTTTATTGAGTTGATATCCCAAAATTAAAAACAAACAAATGTGAAGTTTATAACGCAAAGTTTAAATGGCTACGCAGTTAATGGAACGGATTTAATTTACCACCAAGCAACATTTTTTCCCAATTTGCGTTTGGATGTCAAAATTCACACATGGACATTTAAAATAATTCTATTGAAGTTGATTTTTTTTCATTGAGTGCTAACGTGTGGTGCTCCATAACAAGGATTAAAACAACTTTTATTTTAACCAGATGCCTCCAAAATTTGCTAGGTGACCAAGTCAATATTTTTTCTTTTATAAAATATGGCCAACTATTTCTCATGTTCACCTCCACATTTGTTGCATCTATTTGTTAGATATCATGACTAACCAACGAAACGTTATGTGAAAAGTCACTAATGCTTTCTCCAAGGGTCATTCCATGGTGTGGGATCTGAAAGTGGGACATTTTGTGTGTACATGTAACTGTTACATCAGACCTGTGTATTGAATTTGTCATGCGAGTGTCATTAAAATTGACTTTTTTTTGTTGGGCAGGTAAATTGGCTTAATTTCTCTTGGACTATAGAAGTTAAAAGAATGTGGCCTGATTTAACAAAATCTTATGTTAGATGTTACAGGAACACTGATAAAAACTTGGACCCCAAATTTATGGAATGACCCAAAAAACAAAGAAACAAAACTAAATCACTGATAAAAAAAGACCAAAATCTAATAAACTAATTAAAAAAAAAAACCCAAAGGACAAGCTACGAAAAAGTAGCCTTCATCACCAAGCACACCAATGCACCTGCACTAAAATGTCTCTCTTTTGTTTTTGTTGAATTGCTGCAATCAGGATCAACAAGAGGTCACTTGACCCAGGAGAGGTCACTTGACCCCTGAACTTTGACCTCAGGTAGAGAGGAAATAATACAATGACAGACCGACTGTTGAGAAATTTCAGAAGACTGCACGACCTAAAGGGGTAAAGCGATTGATCCTGAGGGCAGATTCATGCCCTGCACAAATCATGCAAACACAAAAGTGAACTTGTGTTGTCACGGCAACAGTTCGCACTATTAAATTCACAAGAAATTATCACATTTTCAACTCTTGTTGTGGATGTAAAAAGACATTTAATTTGCCTTTGGATTCGAGGGTGCATGGTGTGTGAATCGGCCATGACCTTCCAAGGTTTTTTTTTTGAAGGATTTTGCTGGCTTGATGGATGTAGGGCCCAGCCACTGTGATGTTAAATTGGGATTGATGTTGTTCCTTGAAACAGGCATAAAGAAAGGGTTTTACCCCTCCAGAATGGAGGATTTTGGTGGACTCATGGGATACACATCGTCGCGTCAGTGCAACGAGGTCGTAATTCGAATCTGCAACAAAGTCATATCATTGACTTTGTGTTTACACGTGGTTATTTTTAAGCGAAATGCATAACGACCTTTTGACATTGAAAACTCGCATTTCATGTACGTGACGTCACACATCATTTTAGGAGATATGACCTTGATGCACGGACACGACAAAATGTCTGTCACAAGCCAATATGGCCCATTGGGCCAGCGTACATTTCCGTGGTCCGGCGTATATTTGTGGAGTCCATGTGAAATCAAGTCACAAAATTACAAGAATATGTTGAATCCAAGCCACACATAATAGACACTATGACAGTCCGTGTACACTATTTTCTGGTGCAAACAATAGACAAAATGCATTACAAAGAAAATATTCGGGCAAATGTGCCTATAACCACAATTTGGGACTGTACTGACATACATGTAAGTGCTTGTTGCTTACACTTAATTCACTTTTAATTTAAACTCTGGCTCTGAAAGTGTGTGCACAAGAACATTTATATAGGGAACCAACTCCGGAGAACATTATCACTTAGCACACCGAGTAATACCGGTATATCATCTCTTTATATATAATTCCACTCCTGATAGAGAAAAACTGTATAAATATACATGGTGCATCTACATCATGCAGGTGTTGCGTGGGTGTGGCCTTTGGCAAACACATGCACATTTATGCAAATTTATGCAAATGAGTGATTCAGCAAAGCGCCCCTGCAAAAAAATACACAAACATTAAAAGCTAAACACTGCAAAGCATTTAAGCAAAACCAAAAAAAGCAGTCCAAAAAAAATGCGGTGCTGCTAAACCATTCCCAGCTATAAAACACAGGGAGTGAGTCTGGTCGAGGTATTAACAGCCATACGGATGCAAATTAATGATCAATTTATCGGAGACATGACCAACAAGGCACCGGCACCTTACCTGACGCTCGTTCGGTTTAACAGGCCGTAATCCCTTTAATAAGTGTCGTGTGAGGAATCAGAAGAAAGGAAAGTGGTGCATTGGATGGATGGAGAAGGAAAGAAGGCGGGAAAACAAGGAGGAAATCCCAAAAAGAGGGAGAGAGAGAGGCGACGTTAGGGTTAGGCAAATTAGAAGATTAGTCAATTATTTTTGGTTTTTTTGGTTAAAATAGCATCAGTCGTTCCTAGGTGTAAGTCAGTTTTTGGGATGCGGTCAGAGCTCGACTCGGAACGCAAAGTCGAGATTATAAAATTGCAGAATTAAAAGCAAGAAATTCTGCGGATTGTGCTTTTCCACCAAACCCATCTTATGAGACCCAAATCAAGATTCAAAGGTATGAACTGATGAGAATGTCCCTCAACTGAAAAAAAGTTAGTTTTTCCAATAATTAAAATGAATTAATTGACCACCACCTTTGACCCAATGAAATTAGCTGACCAATCCAAAAAAATAAACATGTGCAACCCAAAATAAATGCATGTTATGTTCATGAGTCATTCAATTATGTAGACTATCGTTCAAATCCTTCAAACCAAGCACTAAATGATAAGGAGGAATTCTTTACTTTGATCAAAAATTTTCTTTTTGCAATTTATAGAAAACCTTTTGGCTTCATGTATCTACATATCAAATAAAAGTTTTAGTTCCCTAAACAAATGCTGCTTAGTTTTTTAGCTTCCAAATTAACGCATACTAGAAATAGATCAACATAATCAAGAATTATAAATTGGCTGAAGGAAAGTAAATAAAGATGAATTGAACAAAATTGTTCTGACTTTTAACAACACAAGATGATTTTAGCCCACGACTTTTTTATTTTGTTTTGTTTTGAGCACTGATGCAACAAGATGACAATGTTCACGCTCTTTATGCAGAGAATGAAATTTGACGAAACAAAAACAGAGCGGACTTTCAAAGAAGTTCACCCATTCTGATTTTGTTTTTAGAAGCGGAGCATGTTTACGTAAACTAGGCATAACTATGAAATGTGGCGCCTCTACGACTGGTCCACTGACTAACACACACTATTTTCAAATGGATGAGATGGGGGCTAACACATGATGCGTAACCGTGGCAACAAGCCTCAACGATGTAATTTCTTTTCATGGAGGCATACGAGCAAACAGCATGGATCTGCCTACAAATGAAATGGTTTCTCGATCTACATGTAGACTCTTTCTACAAGTTGCTTTTTGATTCCGATGAACTGATTGGGTCTTCTAATAAGCACTTTGATTGGTCTCCCTGGAATGCTGGAGACACTATAATGCGATGGTGGCTTGAAATGAGGGTAAAAACAAGCAGCTTGTTAAAGGGATATAAAACAGGAAAGTTAGTTGTTAAATAACCCTGTAGTTAAGAGCATCTGTATATTAACTCTTTCAGTGCCAAAGCCGTACATGTACGAGGTATATTTGTTAGTTCAAAATCGCCAAACCTCGTACATGTACGAGGTAATGGTCGTACTTAAAATCGCCAAACCTCGTACATGAACGAGGTAGAGTAAGCATCTTATCACAAGGGGGCGCTCTTGCTCTTTCTAATAATACCATTTTCATTCAGGTACGACCTGTATTTATTTGTTTCATTCGAGTTCTTGCGAGAGGGCGCAGCACTGACACTTGTATTTTCCGCAAAAAGTGCGGAATTCCCCTGTGTGCAGGACAGTGTTTCAGGGTGTATCACTATGTGTACGGGACTACCATTGACTTTCCAATGTACCAAGGATATACCAAAGAGCAACAACAAAAAATTTAGCGAGTAAAACTGATTTACTTTTTTTTTACACAGAATTTTGAACAATAAAAAAAAAAACGCTCAAAGTTGGGCACATTAGGGTTAAACTTTTCAAATTTTGCGGGCACTGAAAGAGTTAATGTAATCACATTAGTCATGTAGCATTCAGGATCAATATGTTAAAAAGTAGTGGTGGGATATAAATCCGGATTTTTTCACATTGGGTTTGAGCTCCACTATTCGATTTCGATTTTGGTAACCAGGTATTCGAAACCAACCTTAAGAACAATTAAGCCTTCCATTTCTTGTGACATACATGTAGGCTTAAGAAAACAACTGGAACATCCCCCAATTTGCTCCATGGTCTCTGATTGTATAACATTATATTTAACTGCACATGTCAGACTCGGAAAAAGGACTTCACTACGACACTAGAAATTATTATCGTCAGTGCATATGTTCTTAAAAGAGGATCAGCAATGCTGATAGGATGCTGGCATGTTTTGGTTTTGGCTGGGTTTAGGGATTGCTGGGGTGTTTTTCGTCATATGCACTCCGAAAGTTAAAGAGGTTGTGGAATGCTCGAAGACATTTCCGTCATTTTTTGGGTATATGTAGCCTAAGGTGTGATGAAATAAAAACGACTATTGTTTCTGTCATGAAATGAGTACAAAAGGTACTTTTGAGAGCTGTTTTTCAGGTCCTGTTTCGACCCGAACGTGCAATTTGTGTAAAAGTCGTCGTTGCGGGCAGCAAACAAAACACAGTAAATCGTGACATAATAAACAGGACTCGTATATGCTACTCTGCATCGGGAGTCCTGTTTATTACGTCACGATTTACTGTGTTTTGTTTGCTGCCCGCAACGACGACTTTTACACAAATTGCACGTTCGGGTCGAAACAGGCATAACAGGACTTGAAAAACAGCTCTCAAAAGTACCTTTTGTACTCATTTTATGACAGAAACAATAGTCGTTTTTATTTCATCACACCTTAGGCTACATACGTGTATACCCGAAAAATGACAGAAATGTCTTCGAGCATTCCACAACCTCTTTAAAGTTTCTAGCCGTATGATGACCCTTTTGATATTTTCATTCGAAAACTTACAAAACACTTTCTCTGAAACACATTTGCAATTAAAATGACGCAAAACACTAAATATGGAGAGAGAAAAATTCACTAGATATAATCCGTATACAGTTCGTCTGGCAATATGCGTTGGTGAAAGATTCTATCAATTTTGTCAGGTTGAATGCACCATTATACCAGTACATCATGATGCTTCAGAGATATTCATCAACTCACAATCGGACTGTTAGCATGACTAATTTTTGTTTAAGTGAAAGATCGTAAAATTTAAAAATTGCTTGTTTAGCTATTGTGGAATTTTGGTCCTGCTGTTTTTGTGATTATGCTGTGTGTTTTATGTTCAGTTTGTGCCATGTACTTTTTTCTTTTAAAAATCTGGAACTAAAGTTTTTTATTTTCCATGCTTAAGAAAGCAAATATTCTATGGCACACAAGAAATAACACAAGAAAAAAATTGAATTAAAATGTACTAAAAAAAGAAGCTTGCAACAGTTTTGAAACTTAATAAATCATGAAAGTGTAAAGCGTTTCCTGGACATATCAACTGTTCGTATCATAACAGCCGAAATTCCTTTCTTTTGGAAATGTCTTCTTGTTTCAAGAAACTGTGATAAGAGTATTTTCTGCACACACAAAATTAATGTGTAGTGTTAAAACATGTGACAATATCATTTTCATAACACCATCAGTGAATTTAATGGTTTTTACTTTTGTGTTTTGCTTGTATTTTTTTTTGGGGGGGGGGTGTTGTTCTTGTGAGGGCAAAAATGGCAAGCGTTTAAATTTTTCGTTTGCGCCATAGCAAAATGGCAGCATCAAGCTGTACACTTCCTAGGGAGCCGAGATTGTTTTTGGAATGTTTTCATAGGCGCGATGAGCAGGTGTAACGATGATGTAGTGCCCTACAGCACCAATATTGGCAGGTATGCAACATTCTTCATGTAAATTACAAATAATTATTTGTGTATTTTACTGTGTCAATCACTTGAAATTTTCGACATTGTGATGTCTGTATTGCAATATGCTGCAGCCATACCTCTGAATAAAGACGTGATTGTGCAAGAAGTTCTCAAATTGTTTTTGGAACAACGCCTCTTCTTCTTCCAACTTGAGTTGCTCTTTGTCCTTGGGGCAGGCGCAGCATCCATGCTGACATGTCTGGTTCATATCGGTGGTTTCCTCCTCCGGTTTGACTATGATCCCCGACACCAGAGTTGGCGGTTCTACCATGAGGACAAAAAAGCAAAGGCTGTTAAAGGGAATGTACAACCATTTGCCTTTTGCTGCAATCTTCAGAAATAAATGGATTTAGAGGATTAGTAGGTTATAGGAAATATTGTATAACTGACTTGTTTCACGTTTTGGCCTTAGAGACGCTGGAAAAACCAAGAAAACCAATTACGTTCTTGTAGTCTGGTTCCCTGACCCCATTTAAGATGAAAGAGGGGGGGGGGGGGTTAATACCAGTATGATCTTTAATCCAAGTTAGCATTTTGATAATACTTTGGTAGGTCACTTTTAGGATAAATGCAAATGATCCTATATGCTTTTAAAATTGGTGTCACTGTGCTCTTTAACAAAGACAATTTTCTTTTTCTCCAAACAAGTTCTAAATTTTATTTTTATATCAATTAAAAAAATATAAAAATTTTTTTTCGTTTTAGACGCTTTTATTTTGAGATTTTTTCTTTCCCCTACAATGCGCACAAAAAGATCCACCTGAATAAATGGTTGGGCCGAAAATAATCCAAAAATGTGTAAGAAATCATTTTTCATTTTCTTTTTTTAAATGTTCACTTTTAACAGCGAAATATTTCATATTCTCTGATATTTTCACCATCAGAAATATTTTATGCCGTAATATTTGTGTCCAACATGAATGAGTAGAAATTTTCAGGTTAAAAAGCTAGTCTTAGGAAAGTGATGGTAACTTTGAGAAAAACATCATCCGCCGTCCAGAAAAAAAAATTCACCAGAAAGTGGTGCATGTCTTGAAAAGACCATCTGAAATCTTGAATCCGTCATTGGAAAAAATAGAAGGAAAAAAGACCCACATCCTACTCTTATCCAAAGAGTTTGGACGAGAAATTTTTTTTGTATTTGGCCTACATCGTTCATTTTTCTCTTACTTTCTCTGCAGAAGTCCCGCGTGCTGAACATGTTGACTTCCAGTTCCTGTTTCTGCCAGCGCACCAGGTACTCCACGATGTTACTGTTGGGTTTCTTGGGCAGGCCCCAGGACACGATGAGTCGGCTGGAGGAATCGGCCAGCACCATGAGATCAGACGGCGGGCCTGGCTCTGTTACAGGGGAAGAACAGAAAAGGCAAAGAAAATATGGTCAAATTCCTTCTTCAAAGGAAAATAATTGCACTTATTTAGTTATACTTGATGATGACATTTACATCTGTATGTAATCCTATTTTATATCATAGTTATAAATAGTTTGTGGCTCTCAAAGGGAAAATAAAGACACACTCCAAGTGTACATGTATAGTAAACTCTCGTTAAGCCAAATCTTAAGGGAATGGATAAAAAAATGTGAGGTATCTGGAGTTCGAGTTAAATGTAGGGTACCATTTGTCTTTGTGCAGTTTTCTTTTGGAAGCAACACCCTGTGCAAGCAATTGTCTAGTACCCAATGCCTACCTTACAGCAACTACATCTGTTATTGTGCCATAGGCTGGTACCCTGTGCCTACCTTTTTCTTTGGTGGTTATGTACTTGATGTCGCTTTGGGCTCCTTCCTCCGTGTTGGAGATCAGGTAGGACCTGACAAAGATGGCGTACTGTGTCCAGGGTTCTAAGCCTACCAGCATGGTGCCCGTCTTGTCCGGATTCTCATAGACTGTTTGCCATTGACTCGTCCCACACGCGTCCTCTCCGTCCAATACGGTCACATTCTTGTACGGCCTTCCCAAAGAAAAGAAAGAAAGAAAGCTTGCATTTCTTATCATTCATACATGCAATTGCAAAGCAAATGTGACATCACAAAACGTTCGCTGCAAAATTCGCCGCAGTTGAAGTGTGTTCAACTTTTGAGAGTTAGCAGTGCGAAAACATGCCCTGACATCATAAATTTGTGTTTACGTTCACTTAAGGGCCGTCCTAAAAGTACCTACTGTATGCACGAGGGGTGGGGGTTGTTGTTAACTATGCCCACGGGGGGCGGGGAGGTCCTAGTCACTGTGACATAAACAATAATTTCCTTTTAATAAATTGTCATGAATTCAATGTACTTTCTCATATTTAATAGATCTCATACTTATTACATCAAAAAGTGTTATAGCATTTAAATTGTTAAGATAATATACATGTATATGTGGCAGAAATGTCCTACTTTCATTGTCACTTAAATTAAATAACAAAACCCGTCCACATTGAGGGCGCTCTATGCACTTACGCTTTTCTGTACGAGACGATAAAACCCAGCAGGTTGCGCTTATCGCTGATCTGGCTGGTTTCAAACTGCCAGCGCAGTATCAAGGTGCTTTTGCCCGGTTTGGCGAAGACGATAATTTTGTGGATGCTGCCTGCATGTCAGAAAAGAAAAAAAACGGAACAGAAAAAGGCGGATTTAATGAAAAAGACAAAAAAAGTTAACAAGCTGGCTGGCTGGCTATGGACACGGGTCTGTCCATGGCCTCGTGGTCTGGAGCACCAAACTCAAAATCTGTCAATAACGAGCAAGTTCTGGCGCAATAGTTTGACTAACTTTGTTCGAACAAAGAATGGTTCGACTAGTCTAGTCCACTATTTGGAACCGGAGCATTTGGAATGGTTGCATCGCTGGTTACCAATAGCCATCCGCATCATAAAGCACAGCGGGGAGCCAGGAACATGACTTTTGACTGTCATGGTTTGACTAGAGGCGTTCATGCGGAGCTATCAGTGCACAGGCGTTCAGTTACTTCACAAATGAACCAGTAGTCAACTCATGGGCCTCGCACAAACTTGCTCAATTCTGCAGGTAATGGGTTCAAGTCCAGCCTGGGTTGGGATGCATAGGTACATGTATGTCCATGGGCAAGACACTTTATCACTATTTTCTTCTCCCCACTCAGGAGTACACAGGTGCCTGTGAGGGCAGAGAAGGTTATTAACCTCATTCACAAGGGAGCCATTTTTGATCATGTTCCCTGAATTTTATTTACACATACGAGATTTTGTTGCGCGATAATGTCGCCCGTTTTTATATATACGCACAAATCAATGAGCGCGTTTACATTTACGCGGGGTCGCGCGACTTATCATGCTAATTTCAAAAATCGAACAACATATCACGTACTGGTATTTGTTCATTCATACCGTACACACCCACGTGCGACATTGCCGCAAGACATAGTCCTTGCGACAAAATCACGTTTGTGTAAATGGGCCTTGTAACTGTTGAATGGGATGGTGCCAGACTATTTATGCGTTCCAAGCCTCACTTTCAACTTTTTTTTTTAAAGTGGCTTAAAACATTAGCGTATAATTAATCGCAAATTTTAAGTAATTCATCAGAGCAGATTGGTATTAATTTGTAATTATCTTTATTTCATTATGTCCATTTCTATTTGCAAGTTCCAGAAATGAAGATTTTACCTCGCTTTCAATTTAATATAGCTGACTCATGAATAAAGCCTATTGTGATTGATTTTTTTATATAGCTGGTTTTGCGCTGACATAGCAGCACTGAGCGGTACATGCTTCCCAGTTAGCTGAGATGGACACTCAGTCAGTCAGTGGCCCAATCAGCCAGAGCCCTTAAGGTCCAGCGAAATCAACAACTGAAAGATCCTTACATGCTACTTGGTCGCCGTTGGTTCCAAAGTTGTTGCTCTTGGGCGGGACCAGAAAGTTCACCTGGGACTCAAACGTGGTGATGTTGGAGACGCAGAGTTTCGGGTTGTTGTGGAAGAAGAGGGAACCGTTGCCGATGGTGATGTTGGGGTAGTTACGGATGTCAAAGAGTTGCTGAAGATTCCGATTGTCCAACAGGTAAAAGGAGTACAACCTGGCGAAGGAAAACCGGGATATAAGTACGGTATTAACTTACCCGATGAAGATTTATTCTGATTTTATTGAGGGTATCACACACAGTTAAAGCCAGAGTCCATCATTTGCAGCTTTCCAAAAAGTAACTGGTGTAATTACTGGTTAAAAGATAATAACAGGACTTAACTCCCTGTGAAATTTATTCTTTCTGGCAAGCTGTCATTTTGAAGAAATCAATGAATGAAGGCCTTTCCAACATACCTTAGGAAATTTAAATTAGTAGTTCTTTTTTTTTATTCGGCGAAGCGCGCGCAAGCATTGGCACGACGCGCACGCGGTTGCTATAATTCGTCGGATCAGTGCGCGACATTGCGTAGCTGCAATCGGCTCAATGAGAACGTGTATGGGACGCTGAATTCAGGCCCGATTCAAAACATGATTCAGCGACTTTTGATTTGAAATCGAAATCCTAGAATGCTGTTTTTCTCGGAATATGCAGCTGAGGCTGAGCTGAAACTTCATCAAGTTAGTTGTTCAGTACCCTTCTTTAGATTTTGAGCACTTTTGTTGCTTCAAACAAAAAAATGCACTAATTACAAATGATGGACTATACATCTTTAAAGTTTTAAATAAATATGGACTTATATGTGTCTGACTCGCTACAACACTGTTAACCACTTACCCGTTTTCTAGAGAGGCTCCGCCGATGCGCTTGAGACGTCTCAAGAAGTTGAGACTGACGAGAGAGTACGCCATCCTGATGACAATTCTCTCAGTCACTTCCTCAATCATACCAAGATTCTTCTCAAACTCTTTCATGATGTTGGCTGTTTGCGCAAAGAAGACAATGGAAATCTTAAGTTCAGGCGCACGGCACATTTGTCAACAAGTTGTTGAGATGCCCGTCAAGTTTAAATGAGCTTATGTAGTATATTGCTTGCATAGTATATTTTGTTCAAATGTTTAAATAAAACAAAATAGCCATGAAAAAAACTCAACTACGCAAGAGATGCCCCTCCGAATCAGTTGGAGGATTCTGGACCCAATTTTAAGAGATTTTTTTTGTTTTCATGAACAAATTGTTTTATTAACCCAACAGAGCCAAACTCCAACACCAGGAATTGTTGGAATCTGTTAGGATGAGTACTGCACTTGTAAACTGGCTGCATACTTATGTTCCCCAATACCTACATGTACAAATGTATGTTCCCCAGTACAGATGTTCCCCGGTACAGATGTTCCCCGAAATTCTTACCCTTACCCTAACCATAATGGATTTCGGGGAACATCGGTATTGGGGAACATGGGTAGACCCCAGTAAAACTGACTGTGGAATTAGGCATACCACAAATAAACAGAGTCCAACTGTTTATGTGCACAGTTTACCATATGGTGTTGGGATTTGCAAGGATGAGGAAAGTTCCTAGTTAATCACCCTAGGGAGTTAGGGTAACATTTATATGAAATGGTCCATTAGAGATACCACAGCCTATGTGCAAATCAGGCCAGGACACATCCTAACATATCATATAAATATGTTTCAAAAAGAATTGGAGAAATTCTAAAAGCAAGTCTTCAGACGTTTAGAACAGCTATCATAACAGCTCTCCATTACTGGTCTTGCATTCAAGTCTAAGAATGAAATTAATGGCTTGGGATGATCCACCAAAAAGTCCCGATTTAATTACAATTTCTATCCCGTTTGCAATCAACGCAACAACCCTGTTTGTGCATCTGTATTGATCAATTTCGACTGGCTCTTTTGTGACTTCAATTCTTTCAAGAATTCTCTACAGAACTCTCCCAAAAAAAAAAATACAAAAAACCCTCACAAACCACAGTGACTCATTTCTATGGAACAACATCAGAGTCCAATCGGTCACAGTTGTTTGTGACTGGAATTGGAACAGAAAAAAATACATAATTGATACACTTGCGAATAACACTCGACCGCATATTACAGCTTTTCCTCGCCCGCTTTCATTTTGTAACAAATTGGTTGATGTTTCCACAGCCCTGCTCCCTGCAGATTGCCCCTGCAAGGCCGGCCTTCTCCCTAGCCTCTGTAGGGGAGCCCGTCTCACAATTGAATTGTGTCTGGGGGATCTATCACTCAAAACTTAAAGGGTCATGACATGAATTTTACACTGGAGCATATTTGCAGCAAATATTATCCATTCCTCTGAATTGTACATCTACACGTACACGCAAACGTGTGTTCACCGTTGATCGTGGACGTTCTATTGTCCCTCTTTTGTTTGTACTCTTTTACTTTTTGTAACTTTTTAGGAAGACTCTCATAGGTTTTGTACACGACCCCAATCGCGGACGTATGCTGGGAATCGTAGACGATATTGTTTTCTTTTGTTCTCTTGTATTTTTCGTCCATGGTTTGAAAAGATGAACATGTACATGTACCGGTACATGTATAAAAACTGTGAGATATCCCTTTTTTTGGTAAAATTTTTGCAACATGCACTATTTTAAACGGTTAAAATGTTTCATGCTTTTTTTGATAACTAAGGGCAATATTGCTGTGCTGTCACTTTAGGATGCACCCCTGTATTCAAATTCCCATAGACACCAGTGCTAAATGCCCATATTCCAAAATTCTTTTTAAAATACTGAGAACTCTCACAGGTATTTAAGCTGCACAGAAAAATGATGATCGACATGTCATCTTTCATTTTCTTTTCAAGTTTTGGTGGGTTGCTACTGACTTTTCGAGAAATTCTCACCCAAAGAAGACGACCCCTACCGGTATTTATCCCAAAGCGGAAAAGTAGCCATCTTGAAGAACGATCCCTCCACAACATGGCAAAATAGCGCCACCTTCGAGCCCAATCACATCCAAAATGCTCAGAATTGGAAGCCGCAAGTCCGGGCCAGAGGTTCATTGCCATATCTCTTCAATTCCCCAATTTTATGGCTCTCAGAACTCTCTAATATAGAATATTTTTAGAGTATACATTTAATTCATGAACTCGGCGGATGGATTTAAGGCTAACATTTTTGCATAAAGCTTTCTCACTGTATACTGAAAGAACAATGAAGTTACTGCAAGCAGAAAAGTAACCACAGCAAACCCCTAAAATTCTAGTGATTGTTATGTTGAAGCAGATGAGAAACTGAAGTTTCTGCCTTGAATGACATCACAGTTTTGCTCATGAATATGGAAATTTGCATCAGCATATGTGACCGGCTCCACAAAGGGTATCGCACTGACCATTATTGTGTAATGGCCGTCTCAACATTGAGAGGGTGAAAATTTCATCAAAGTCTGATTTTCATTTTTTGTCATGAATGACATCTTTGATACCTACAGTTTCAGGTTTCATTCACAGAAATGTTGATTTTGATGAACAACCTGGAAAAAAACCCCAACCGTTTTGTGTGCATCGTTCGATTGTTCTCCAACAAAGCCAGCTACATTGTATTTCAAAGCCTGTTTTCTCAGTTATGTAATTTCAACTCAAAGGAAATAATTAATATGCAAATAGGTCATATTTCCAGAATGGGAGGGGCTACGGAGCTCTATTATATACCAAATGAAAGCTTACATTGTGGGCTTTCCAACCATTTATATAACTCAATTTCACTTTTTGCGACATAATACCCTTTTTTGTGGAGCCGGTCACATATACCCAAAAGGCACCCAAATGCCCTTAAAATGACAATATGAAGATTACAAATAAAGTTAAATGGAACACAGAGGTACATTTCAAGGATAGCATTAAAAAAAAAAAAATCCAGTACATAAACGCTTTAAAGCCGTACCCCTACAGACAAGTCATTTTCTCTCCTAGACAAAAAAACCCATAAAATCCAGGCCTTGTTTTCATTATCACGTCGTCCAAATTTTTTCCAAATTGAAAAAATCATCTACAGGAGTTTCATATGATATTCTCGTCACATGAAGATTAACTCTCATTTGTGCACAGATGTTTAAGATATCAGACCGAGCTGGTAAAAAAAAATGATTGTTTTTCTGGTGTAATGAGTCAGTGGAGGATTTTCTATTGAAATTCTTCAGCCACCCTCAGGTCGACCTTGCGAGGACGACACAGAACAGTCCGCAACAGACTTTTCAGGATCAAGCTGCGCCTGAGCTATTCAACCGTCAAGAACAAGTGAGTTGCGGATTTTTTGCGGCTTCAGTGTACAGTAACTGCGACGATATTAAGACCATTGGCAATTTGGGTGCTTCACAATGCAGTGTGCCACAAAGAGTTTGCCATGGAGAGTCCATTTTTCAACTTTACGGTCGGCAAAACATGGCCCATTTGAACGAGTATCATTAGACAACTTGAGCTATTTTGTTATAAATTGGGGCAGAGCATTCTGCCGCCCTACAAAAAACACCATATTGATAAAAAGAAAAGAAAAGGGCAAACATATGATACTGGAATCATACGTTTGCGAAACTACTGACCGGAAAAACTAACAATTTAAAAAGTCCCGCGCTGCGAACTTGTCGACCATCTCCCACAATGCACTGGGAAAAATGAACTCTCTGGGGCAAACTCTTGGTGGTGCACTGCATTGTGACTCGCCCGAATTGGCATCAGTCGGCACTATAAAAACCAACAGTCGCAAGAGTAGAAAAATTTCAACTTCTGCGATGTGTTCCAGACAGGTGCAGGGAATCAATTGCAGTCATGCAGCTAATCAGCAAAAATGGCTGAATGAACATTATCCGCTATCGTTAAAGAGGTCACATGACTCTCTACCGGTATGTGGTACCGGTAGAATTGTCGTTGCGTTGTGGGTGACATGAGCATGGTTGCAATTATTTTGTGCCAAAATGCCGCCAGTTCACAATAGTCACACAATTTCTCAGTTTTGTGACCTGTGCTTGATGCTGATGGTTCCGTTGTGGCGCATCTTTAAGCAAATCGCAGGTCGACCTGAGGCCAAATTTACTTTCGTTTATTTTATATTGAAACTCCTACTCTACTCTTACTTACTAAAACTTTCATCCAAACAATATACCTCCCCCCCTCCTCCCCAAAACAAAACAAAACACATTTTTTTTTTACTTCGACTATTAACAGACCCCTGGGGAAAAAAAAGCTGTGTCAAGATCTTCAAATGTAACCCACAAATTAATAATGATCTTCCAAATGCCACAGTTTTCTTCGAAATGCCACGACGGAATACTTTTGTAGGCCATGTGGCATCTGTCTAAATCTTTAGTCCAGGTAAGGTTTTTAATATTTAATTTTTGGGGGCTGTTTTTGTGTGAAGTTTTGAAAGATATTTTGTTAAGTTTCTGACAGCCATGAATAATCCCAGGGACATTCAAACAAAGTAATAGGCCCTACCACTTGAGACAGACTGAGCAGGATTCACGATATCAAGTATTGAAAGTAGTGTGAAACCACAGTAACTTGAAATCTCTGATAAAAACAAAATCACCCATCAAGATTTAGATCAGTCCAAGGTCTACCCCCTCTAAGGATTAACCCCACTTCAGAGTTTCTTTACCAGTCCTTCAAGGTTTTACCCCCTTTGGGATAATTATGTTGTCAACCCCCTTTGGGATAATGTGTGGTCTTACCCCCTTTGGGGTGATATGTGGTCTTATTACCCTCTTTGGGAAAGCAGTGGTCTTACCCTCTTTGAAAAAAATATGTTGTCATAAAGGGAATATACATCATTTGCTTTTGCACTTGCAGTAATTCAGAAATGGATGGATGTGGAGGGTTAGTAATATATAGCAAATATTGTTACACTGACTTTTTTGAAGTTTTGGGTTCGTAGATGCTACAAAAACCAAGAAAAACAATCATTTTCCTGTAGTCTGGTTCCCTGACTCCATTTAAAATGAAACGAAGCAATTTATAAACGTTGGGGAATTGTAAGGTCAGGGAACCAGTCTAGCTGGCTTGTACCCGTTCACATGTGTGTAATCGATTGCAAACAAATGAAGACTAACTAAATATGGTCAATTGGGGACAGTATTTGAAATAAGCCAGTTTTTTTTCCAACGCTGGTCGGCCGAACATTGTTGGAAATTGATACAAAATACCACTTTTCTTGAAAATGACAGCACACCAGGTACCATGATTTTACAGGATGCTTTAGACTGTCATTCACTAACAGTCCAGCAAGGTATTTCAAAATAATTTGGTAGTTTTATTTTTTGGTGTTTGCAAATGTTGTATTTTCCCTTTAAGTAATTCCCTTGAATGGATCACCTTTAAGCTTTTACCCCATTTGGAATTATATGTGGTCCTACCCCTTTGGGATACTATATGTGGTCCTACCCCCTTTGGGATACTACCCTATATATTGTGGTCCTACCTCCTTTGGGACAATGTACATGTATGTATGTACAATGTACCTTTTTATCAGGATGAACAGCCCAGGTTAGTCAGTATTTATGAAGGGCACCTTGCCTCTCTGGCAGGTGAATGACAATTTCATGGAGAAAAGTGTTTTTTAGCAATTTTTTGCGCTTTGCAAAAATTAGCCGAGTACCAGTCGCAAGCAATGTGTACTGCATGGCACTTTAACCGGTAACCAGCAACTGTCTATAGGGTCCACTGTACTAATTCAAGCCCCTTTGAAAACTGTGTAAAATCAACAAAGTTCAGGGCCAAGTAACATGCAAGCCAACATCACTGGGGTTTCTCAAACAAAAATTAAATAATTGTCTTGTCTTTCATCTTTTCATTTCTTTTCAATTTTAGGTACATTAGCCAATTACATTTTTAAATATTCACACCCAAATAAAATCACCTCCCGAAAAGTGATAGTTCCCGAGTCTGCATGTAGCCATTTTACAAGTGGCATCCTTCCACTTTCACAGGAAAATAGGACCCATTTTTCATCCGTGATTTTATCAAGCCTGCCCTCAGATGGAAGCCCCAAAACCAGGGAGTTGATCCTTGGGTATATTTACACAATTCCACCGTTTTTAAAGCCAAACGGTCTCTGTTTTCAAAAGAAATTGTGGGGGCACTTTTTATGCTAATCAGCCGGCATAGAAATTCTCGCTTGAATTAGTTCAGTGCACCCTTCTGTTTTACCCAGCTCCCCCATCAAATTGGCCCCCTTGTGGGTACCAAGGTCTCTGGGCTCCACTGGGTACCTCCCTCCTCTGGGGGTCAGCTAATTGTGGGTGTACTTTAGGGGACTATGGGACCACTAGGGCTGTACTTTTGGGGCTCCTGACCGCGAGAGGTCGATGATGGAACAGGGGCAACTTGGAAGGAATGGGAGCAGCTCATGCTGGGCCAGTTTGTTTGTTTGTCGGGCCTGTCAATCTGGTTGATATATTGTGAGATATAAATATGACATTACTCCTTGCAAAACATCACATGGTACATATGTACATCCAAATAGGAGACATCACAAAATGCGATCCAAATTGGAACTGTCAGATGCAGACTGGGCTGAAACCGTGTGGATTTTAGGTAACAATAAGCAAGTCCTGTATTTCAAATACAGTGAAATCTCGATAACTCAAACCTCAAGGGAACAGGTTCAAAATTTGACTTCAGCAGAGTTTGGAGTTAAGCAGGGTTGTATATCATTGTTATACCGTACTACTGAAGGGAATGGATTCTTTGTTTGACTTAAAAGTTGTTTTGAGTTATCAGAGTTTGACTTATAGAGATTACTTATTCGCGAGATGGACTATTCATCCAATCATCACGCTTTAACAAATGACATCATGCCATCATAAACCAATTACTCCTAGGCGTGCATTTCAAGGGGGGAGAAGTTAACTTGGACAATGGTGGAATTTCTTGTCATCGGCACTTGTATTTAGTTTGTACACAAAACCCCAAAGTATTAGGAGTGACACCGGTGTTACCAAATATTATTTTGGTTTTAGACGGTCAAACTTTACTATTTTCCATTGAGAAGACCCAGTAGTACCTGATTTCAGATGACATGACAGTCAGTAACAGTCATTTTGTTAACATACATGTACATGTAGTCATTCTTAACTGTTTCAAATGTCTAACTTTTCATGTACTTGATTCAAATCTTTGAAAATATTTGATTGAGCGTGGGCGGGAAAGAAGCTTTACATCCAAGGATGCTGGATCATAGATGTCTGGAGGCAGGGGCCTGGGTAGGGGACCAATGTGTCTTTACACTTGACTCTCACTCCAAAACACCCTTCATCATTCCTGGGCAGAAACCCAACCCCAAAGTTCATATCCCGGAAGTTGCTGTTCAGATCGTTCATGATGGTGCTCACGATAACACAACCCCATCGGTGCGTCAATGCAGCTAGATACAAGTTTGTACAGTGTGGGCTAAAGGATTTTGCAGCTTTAAAATCCACAAAAACGTGGAATCTGCTTTGGTTTTCCATGTAGCCTGGTTTTCATTTTGAAAATTCCCCACAAATGGTATTCAAAACCTTTCTTTTTCATTGTCTGAGAAGCTACTAAGTAATTTGTAAAGTTGGTTACCCGATCCCATAATCTGGAATCAGTTCCTGACATCAGCAGTCGGGTACTCAGGTACCCGGTTCCGATGCACAGCGCTAATTCAGAAGTAGTAAAACCTTACAAATTAATAAAACAAGTGTTATTTTCATAGCATTCACAATTGTTTAAGGCAAGTAGACACAGTGAGATTGGATTTCGACCAATCAAAACTACTTACTTCCACTCCGGATGCCGATTTCCAGGGACCCGTTGATGATGGTGCAGCCGGCCAAGTTTGCTGCGTCCCCCACGGAGTTGACTACCATGCGGCCTTCACAAACTGAAGAATCAAAGAATACAATCAGGAGTAAGGAAAAGCAATCAGAAAAGGTTCTAAAACAGAGCAGAGATGAAACCATTTCAATTAAATCAACTCAGTACATCAATATGTTCTCCACCTCTGTCCCACAGCTTCTCCACGTTTCCCCCACCCAAGCTCCACATTTGGCCAAACCCTATCCCACAACTGCTCCACCCCTTCTCCACCTAAGCCCTTCCCCTTCTCCACCCAAGCTCTTCCCCCTTTTCTACCTCTGCTCCATCCCTTTTCTGCACCTACCGATACTCCACCCTGTCCCCAATCCTCTACCCATGCCCATGGGGATTCCTTTGCCCCATGCCTTCTCCACCTAAGCTCAATCCCTTCACCCTCCCTGCCTCACCCCTTCTCTACCCCTGACCATGTCCACTGCTCGCCCCTGCCCATGCCTTACCCTTCTCATTCACAAGTCCATCCCCTCTCTGCCCCTGGCCTATATTGTACCCCTTCTCTATCCTTCTCCACCTCTGTCCAACCCTTCTGCAGTCCACCCTCCTCCACCCATACCCCATCCAACTCCTCCAAATCTGCCCCTCCACTTTTTACCCCATAGCCCACCCCTTCTCCACACTTGCCAAACCCCTTTACTACCGTGCCTCAACCCTTCAATGCCCCCACAAAACCCCTTTCCTAACCCCTTTTTCCACCCCAGCCACAACCCTTTCTACCCCAGCCACATCCCTTCTTCACCTCTTCTCCACCTCTTCCCCACACCTTCTCAGCCCGTTCCAACCCTGCTCCACCCTTCTCCACCCCTGCCCAACCCTTTACTCCACCCCTGCTCCGCCCTTCTCCACCCTGCCCCTGCCCTCTCAAACCCAACCCCCGACCCGTTCCGTGCCCCTACATCACCCATCTCCATACCTTTCGGGCAAGGACCATCACACGGTTGGCAGTAGCGTGCATTGGTAATGTTGGTGATGAAACTGGTAGGGCATTCCTCGATACACTCTCCGTTGTGCAGCTTCCAATAGTGCGGGCATTCAGCCGCTTGAATGCACCGGTGATTTTTGTACTGGACACAGAGAACAGATTTGAGTGACACATTTTAACCATAAAACTGTTCCGAAAAAAAAAAAAACATCGTTTCCCACTTCATCATGTGTGTTGTAGAGTGGATGGTCACTGAACAAATTGGCTGAACAAATTTATCATTAATTTTAGACCAAAAGTTTACCTCTACAGGTGATTTTTTGGGATGATTTGTAGAGGTATTGCCATTCAAGTATAACCCAAAATTTCAACAACCAGTTTCTCTGTTTTGACCTATGCAATATCGCTTACTTCAAATGGGCATACGTCGCATGGAAAAGTGTAAATTCAAAAATTTTAATCATCACTATAAATGGGAAAATTTAAGTTTAAACTAAATTTTCAACAACCAAAAACCCCACGAATTTGAAAAGGTGCAAGGAAGAGATTGTTTTTGCCGAAGCACATTTTTATCACACATTTCTGCACATTTCACTCACCACGTATGTGCTCGCTGGGCAACTGTCAACGCACACGCCATCATGGGCCAGGTTGCGGCAGGCTACACAATCGCGGTTCGTTCTGCCGTCACATCCGCCGACGCAGGACTCGTGACAACACGTCATCCCGTCACACGCCAACGGACATCTAGCCGGGCACACTGGAATAAAAGTAAAGACACAATTTCTTTTAATCAAAGCATCTACTGAGACAATTGTAGAGTTGTCTGTGACAGTGCTGCGAGAAAACAAAATGTCCATGAAGGACACTTTCCTAGTATGCAATCACTTTTTCAATGTTTATGGATGACATGTTCCAAAAGTTCACTATTGAATACGCGACTGCAGTCATTGTCTTAAAAGTAAAAATATCAAACTGTTCCATGGCTCAAACTTGTTCCAGTTTTACTCTGCAGTCTGCAATACACGTGGCTTTACTTCATGGTTTAAGTTGTCCAATTGTGTTTTTGTTTGGGTTTAACAAAGGGTTCACCTTTGTTCATGTGTTACATTCATGATCTCCTTTTTCTTTAACCCTTACCCTACTAGACCCTCCAACGCATGCCAATATGTGCCTCAAGAAAATCTCCTATGTTTTTTGCATGGCCCTCCAATATCTGCCATGTCATTTCAAGGGTAACTGGACAGGCACTCCAATACATGCCACAGAGAACAATGAGAGTCCTCTGATAACAAAGTGAGTGCCCCCAGCTGGTCAGTATCAGGCACCCTCCAGGGCCTCCAACTCCTGCCAATTGGAGCCTTCACTGTCAAGATAGTTTATCAGCCAATATACTGCAGCTGGAGGGCATTGGCATAACCAACTGACATGCAGTAAACTACCCTCAGAGAGTAAGGGTTAATGTGAGAGAAGTACCGGTACTAGGGAATGGACCCATAGAAATGTACTCGTAGTCGTGGAAAAGTACTCGTACTGGTACTACCATAGTACTCATGGAAAAGAACTCATATTCGTACTTGTGGAAAATTTTTGCCTTGTACTCGTACTCGTACTCGTACTCATACTCATAGCAAAGTACTCGTACTCGGACTCACGGAAAAGTACTCGTACTCATACTTGTGGAAAATTGTTGCCTTGTACTCGTACTCGTACTCATGGCAAAGTACTTGTACTCGGACTCACGGAAAAGTACTCATACTCGTACTTGTGGAAAATGTTTGCCTCGTACGCGTACTCGATCGTAGGCTACTCATGGCAAAGTACTCGCACTCAGACTCACGGAAAAGTACTCGAACTCATACTCATGGAAAAGTACTCGGCTACAACACTGAATAGACAAGGCCAAAAGCCGCTGTCACGTCAGATGTGCATGTAAACAAACAGGATTTTCCAACATTTTCTCCGTAAATGTACATGTACATAAAGACATCATGTGGCTATCCTTTGATCCAGACCTTTGAAACAAAGGTACATGTAAATAAACAATCTAAAAGACAAATTTTGTTGTGAACTCTGGCCTAATGTACCTTAAATACTACACATTAAAAACCAAATGATTTACCGAAACCTTATGCTCTTTGCTAAAAAACAACACAACCCACGGTGTTTACACTTTAACGAGGCATGCACAAGACAAGATCACCTTGTTTTTTTCCCCCGGCAGTCGTGACCACCTCCAAAATTAATTTGTTTTTTGACCTTGTGTGAGACAAGCTGGCTAATTAGGCAATGGATGGATGTCTGGCGTTAATCGTGATTCACATAAAGTACAACCACCCCTCCATGTTTATTCACCAAATGCTCAAGAAAAAAAAAAGTAAAACAAAAAAAGAAAACTACAAATGGTTAAGCAGTAGAGACGCAACAATACATCAATGTATCAATTTAGAAAATGAATTATTGAGGGCTGTAAAAGCTGGAAATTAAACTACGTGTATTTCCGTCAGAGGTAATTTGAAGGACAAATAAAATATTAATTGATCCTGACCTTCTGATTCAAATGTTGGTAATAACATTGTTACTTAGTACGAATGAAGCAATTTTGAGGTTTTCATGTACATGTAGTTGGACATGATGGTGAAATACAGTACAGTAGTGTGAGATACAGTACGACTAAGATGGTGAAATACACAGAGATGCCACCCTTACCCCCTTTCAAAAATGTGTTTTCTGCATATTTCAGACCAAATCCAGCACTTTTAATTTGTCATATTTTTGGGAAAAAAAACCTTTTTTTTGGAAAAAAAACCCTGAATTCAGGTTTAAACCTGAAAAGTGGTATCTCTGAATACAGTACAGTAAGAACCTGGAGTTTAACCCCAACCCTACTCAATCCTCCAAAATCCTCCAGGCTGTTTTGGAGGATTTTGGAGGATTGAGGCTGAATGGCAAAAAGTGTCAGTTGATTTTGGAGGATGAATTCATTACGTCCAGCTCGTAGGCTGTACCGCAAGTCATGCATAACTGAGCACTGCATTATGCTTGATATCATCCGCACTGCTTCTGAAATGACATCGGCACTGCCATTAACCAATTAACAGTGGTTTTTTTTTGAGGATTTTGCAGCATTGAGGCAATGGTCACCCCTCCACTGAGCACTGAACACATTCAAGAAATAACGGATGATTTTGGAGGATTGAGGCTGAATCCAATTTTTACACGGTGGAAATAGGAGGATTTTGCAGGATTGTGGATGGTTCCTAGCCAAAAGGGCCTAGGACATTGGGTTTAAGGTAATGGACAGTAAATTGGATACCATTGCAAACGTTTAAAACTTAACTTCCCAAATAGTATGAAAAATCCTACTTGACTGCAAGTAAAATAATATTTAGGGCAATTCCACGCAAATGTAAACCAGCCCAAAATGCAAGTGTTATTATCTATTGTGACATATTTTGTTTTTCAGGCAGAGAGAAAGGTCCATATTTCATGCAAACAGATTTTTGTAAAAAAAAAACCCATCACCTCAAACTGATTATTTTCTACTTTGTAATTCCAGACACGAACGTACGTCCGCCACTAATAAATGTACATGCATGTCCGACACACTTCGGCAAGTCACAATCAAACAAACACATGTTTTGCCATGAAGTGTATTTATTAGTATGTGATGAAACTACAAATAGAAAAAAGATTGCTGCAAGTCCAAACACATCACAGAATTTTTGATACAAATATGGATACACAATAAAAAGAAATTGATTTGTCTGGTTACATCCGACACCTAGTCTGGCCCTGGCGAAGCCGACCATGGTCTATGATATGTACATAGATTCGGTGATTAATTATGCAACTAGACTGTGCATGACCTCAAGAAACTGACCAATCAGCAGGTGCCTTCTATACGCACGTAATTCGAGCTCCCCGCGTGCGTAAACAACACACCCACGATTGGTAGCATTTTCGTACAGGTTGTTGTATTACAAAAACGCAGTACCGAAATTGACCAATCACATCTTAGTCCTGATTTTGGTATGAAATGACGTCACGCATGCTTAGATACCAGTATATCAGACGTTACCAGATGGCCGGTAGACTGGGCTCCGTGGATAACGGGTGATACTCAGACTATCCAACACCATAGTGTTTTGAAAAAGCCAATTTCTACATCTAAAAAGTTGGATGAATAATTTCCGTTCTAAATCTTTGTAGTAGCAAACCGATACCTTTTATCAGAATTAACATCCACTTACATGTATACATAACTACTGGTACATTTATTTGTGAAATCATTGTACCGGTATCTGTTACAACTGATAATGTGTAACCTACGGATAACGTATCACCAACCGATAATGTCACACAAAATTGACCGATAATGTACCACTAACCGATAATGTAACAAAAATTGACCGATAATGTAGTCAATGTTCTACACTATCGGTCAATTGTTGTTACATTATCGGTCCTAACCGATATGTAACAAAAATTGACCAGTAGTGTAGTAAAAATGTACTACACTACCAGTGTCAGTCAATTTCTCTTACATTATCGGTTAGCGATTCATTATCGGTCAATTTTGTGTGACATTATCGGTTGGTGATACAATATCGGTCAATTTTGTGTGACATTATCGGTTAGTGATACATTATCCGTTGGTTACTACATTGTAACATACCTAGTATGATATCATTTTATAAAACAAACAGGAATTAGATAAGAATGGAAAGTTCTAACAGCAAGGTAAGTCTTCAGAAACACCACGTGAAATTAATCTCTTTTGTGAGTTTGTGATGGTTCTGACAAAGAACCGGTTTTGGACACAACGTTTCGGACACCATACTCTGTCCGTCGTCAGGAGACTGAATTATTGCCATAATTTCCTCGCAATAGTTCAGACTGAACCATTGCGAGAAAAATGGTGTTTTTTTTCCAAATACTACTCGAGTAATATTGACCGAAGTAACTTCAGTTTGCAATTGTTACATATCCATGAATGGCTACTATTTTTCCAAGTGACAAACTGGGGATCATACCACAAGATGGTGCAAGTCAAAACTGTATAACGGCCTACAAATGCAAACAAGCATTTATTTGTTACAGGACATTATCCTTTAACATTCGCTCGGAAAAGAAATAAAAAAAATTGAAAAAGCACGCACAAACCAGCTTTAAAACACAGACAAACCTGCTTAAAACAAACCTGCGGTACACCCATGCTCCAGTGCGCACTGATTCGGCCCATGCAGTACATTACCAGTCAGAAACTACCCGAGTCTGTTGGAACACTTAGCGGTGGTACATTGAGCGCGGTATTGCGTTACACTATTTTGACGTATTATGTGTCCGTTTACATCCCTTCGCCAACCTAAATATATCTCCTTGCATAACTGTTTATTCTGTCATACAGTACTGGTTGCAATACGAGATCTGTGAGTAAATATCAATGGATCTGAAAGGATGTCTCGAGTTGTATCATTATTTTGTTTAGTTGAGATTTAAGGTAATTAATTGTTAATGGTAATCCAGTGGCCATATGGCCCTGGGTGTTAGTTTTAAACGAACTTAAAGGGAAGATACAACATTTGCAAACATCACAAAACGAATTGATCAAATTATCACGAAATACCTTACTGGACTGTTACTAGTCTAAAGCATCCTGTCAAATCGTGGCTCCTGGTGTGCTGACATTTTCAAGCAAAACAGTATTTTTCCAACACTGGCTGGCCGAAATAAATTTGCAAAGTTTATTTGTG